TGGTAAGATATGATCATTATTATTTCTATTATTAAGAAATCAAATAAGAAATATGCATGAATTATACACAAATTATATGCAAATGTATAACTGCATTGAGTGTTAGAGTTCCCCAGATATATTTCCCCCTTTCCCACTATTCAATAGTCCTGGAGTTTCAGTGAGATTGATCCCACTGGCAGCTCTAAGAATGAGAGCTGGCACAGTGACTGGTTTGAGTTGGGTATATACTTCAGGATGAATCCAATCAGTATTTCCTCAGTCATAGTGGTCAACTACTTAGGTTCGCTGAGTTAGAACAAAACATAGGACTTCTGTTCTAAGGTTTTGGAAGGCCACTCTCTTTCTCTCTCTATGGCCATGAGCAAAGTCACCTGTATTCCCAGTTACTGCTGGCAGAAGATACTCCATACCCACGAGGAAAGTCCACCTTCAAAATAAGCCACACTGTTTATGGAAGAATGACCAGATGGAAAGATCTTGTGCACTGATAACATCACTGATTAACTTTGACAAACCTTTAACTTCTGGAACCAGCAAATTTCCTTATGAGTCAACTACTGTGAGTGGCCTTTTCTATTACTGTTACTCAAAGTATCCTTCACAGTACAAAGTCATCAAAACATTTCCATTCATTTGAGAAAATCCTGGTGAAGAAGACGATTTCTGAGAAATGGCTTCTTAGGATTCCCTACCATCACTTGGTTTTACTTATTTGAGACTAGAATTTTTTTATGAAAAGTATATGAAAATGACTGAAGAAATAAAAATTAAATACTTGGAGAAACTGTACATGATTTTATAGCTAATAAATTTCTAAGAGATTTTATTAGAGATATAATTAGAGACACCAAAGACATGAATTCTACAGAACCTAGAGTAACAAAATATTAGCAAAGAGATGAAGAATATTTAAAAGCATAATCACGGTAGAAACAACCTAGAAGATAAATTTCTTGGTAAGTGTATCAGTATAATAGATATGTCTTGGAACCATGACTATTTTAAACCATGCCTGTTTCCAGTAGCTTTCATTGTGATAGGCATATAGATGATAATAAATGTTTTCAAATAAATGAGTGACACACTCTCAAGAAGTGAAAGTTATAAAGAAAATAAGTCAATCATAGAACAAACCATAAATATATGCTCAATAATATGGTGGTTAACATTTTGAGGAAAATAGTGAATGCAAACAAAACAGTGAATAAGAATTGTGCTGTATGTTGGACAATTTTTTTCTGGGAAAAAAAGCAATAAAATGAAAAATATAAGTGTTTAATTAGTCGTTTATTGGTTGGAAGCAATAGAAAATTCTGGTTAAAAAAAAGTGAATTAATTGTCAGCATATAGGGGCTCATGGAATGAGCAGAAGGCTTTGTTAGGGTTAGCAATGAGCAGAAACTGAGCTGGGAGGTGGTTCATTCCTATAATCCCAGGACTTTGGGAGGCTGAGGCAGGAGGATTGCTTGAGGCCAGGAGTTTGAGACCAGCCTGGGAAACTAGTGAGATCTTGTCTCTATTTTTTAAAAATTTTAAAAAGAAGTAAATAAACAGACACCAAGGCTACTCCAGAGACTAAGAAGTAAGACAGAACAGGAAAAGTTAGGCTATAATACTACAGTTTAAGGACAAGATGGAGGTTGGTGGTAACTGAAGGAAAGCTATTTAGTGGAGTCTATGAAGACTTGGTTGGAGAGAATTGAAGAGGGAATGGAAAAATAAGCTACTCCTTTGAAGAATTTTTCTGTGAAGAGTTGCATAGAAAGACATGAGGTCAAGAGGGGTTGTCTTTTAATGGTGCGACTTAAGCATGTTTCTATGATGATGAGATTGATTCACGGGCTGTTGCACTCTTCTTTACAAGAGTCTCAAGGCTGGTTCCTTCTCATACTTCACATCTCAGCTCTGTGTCACCTCCTGGTTCTAGTCTTATTGCATTGTTTTCTTTTCTCTATAGCACTTTTCCCTGTCTGTAACTATCTTCTATGTTTGTTTGATTGCCTCTACCAACTGAAGTATGAAAGTCAGGAGAGCAGCGACTTTGTCTCATTTACCACTGCAACACAAGCTTTCAGAAAAGTGCCTGTCACATATCGAGGCCTCAATACATATTTGTGAGATAAATACACAAACAGAAAACTAGAATTTCAACTGTTTCTTTCCTTTTTATGTCACTTGTTTGAGATTCAAAATCCAGGATACAGTTGCTGAAGGACCAAGTTCAATGCTATATAATTCTTTGTCTGGACTAGGTCTGCTTCACCTTAGGTTATGTGGTGGATACTAGGTACCAGAATTTACTGTTCTTCCAAAGCCAAGTAGGGGGGAAGAAAAGTAATTCTCACAGGGAAATCAAATACTACTAGAGACTGCCAAATGACAAACGTTTAAGGCAGTGAAGAACACTGAAAAAGGAGAAGGAATTTTCATTTCCTGCCATAAAAAAGCCATAAATGAAAAGTTTACATTCCTGCTCATCAATTAATAGCTGTCCATTTCATCCTTAAGTTTCGAGAAAAGATTTTAGGACCAAGGGGCAAGCAAGCCTCTGCTTATACAGATAAACATCTCACTCCATTAAAACAGGTTGGAAGCCTAGAGATAATTAGACCCACTGTGTCAAGCAATCAGCAACACAGGGAAGAGGTGAAAAAAACAATGACAAGTGAGTTAGCTAATTCTTAAGAGAAACAGAAGGAAGGCCTTTGCAATCAGTTGAAAGATGTTTTGGTTGTTGTGGTTCATGGCCTGATCTGTACTTGTTTGCTGTTACTTGGTTTCTCTGTCATCTTCACCCTTTTCTCTTGTCCTCCTCTAGCCCAGGCATACTGACCCAGACTCTCAGATGCAGGCACAGTCACCATGGCCTCATCACAAGGAGAACATAGTGAACTTCCCTAGGGCAACTCAGTGAAAGGGTGGTCATTTTTTCCCCACAGGATTGTACCTCCACAGGAAGCCTTGCTCTTTCGTCATTGCTGTGTTTTTCTTTCCTCCTTTCTGGTCCTATTGATACTTAGTCATCTAAGTTTGATAAGAGACCCTGATAAGTATTAGCAGCAGAACATAAAAAGTATGTATATTCCTTAAAATTCCTTCTTGTTATATGCACATGTGATTTCTGATTTTTAAAAAAGATAACATATTTGACAGACTATCAGGTACGTTTTCAAATTCTATGTAATAATCTATAAGAACCCTATGAGCTTACAGCATTTTTCCCAGTTTAAAATAATGTCAGTGGTAGGAGTGTCAATGATTTATATAAATTTCTAAAAGTTTTGTTATAACACCCCTTTTTTCCTTTATACATAGACAGAAAAAATGTAGTTTTTTCTTCAAATATAGTTCAACTTTTACAAGTAAGATCATTTGAGTGACTTTCATTCCTGTGTTAATATTTTTCCTTAACTCTAAAATAATAATATTATTAATTTCATTAGTTAGTCTGTTTAGAGTTCTGTAGGCCAATATGTCTTTAATAAACCTGCCAATTTTTTCACAACTGCCTTCTGAAATATTTTCCACGTGGTATTCATTTAAGGAGAAATTAGAATTAAAAAGTCACTTTGTTTTTCAAGGACTTTTTGAGTCTGTCTTTGTACCAGCCATATCTCTCCACCTCTCTTTTTGATCAGTGAGATGTATGATAAGATTAATAACCATTATGAATAATTAGTGCCTACAGTACCTTTCACCAGTCATTATGAGATGACCTTCCTTTTATAAAATATTATGAACCAGCTACATGGTGAACATCTGCACATTCCACTAAAATGTACTAAAGTATAATCCACTCTGTGGTTTTTTTTTTTTTTTAATAAGATGGGGTAAGAAAACAGTACAGAAAATTAGACTGGAAGAGATGACAGAAATAGTTCAATTGGTTCTTTTTTAAAACAAGAAAATTAAAGTATGCAGCACTGAGATGATTTTCTTATCCCAAATAGACTGCTTACTAAATGTAAGACCAATAGCCTAGTCCTTGCTTTTCCACACTTATCCACTTAGTGTTGACTGCTCAATAGGTCTTTACTTTATTCATTGGATTATTTTGTTAATAGTTTGGGTGAGCTACAGTTTTATTGGAGGAGAAAATGCTAATTACAGTCTATAATTTGATAAGCACCAACTATCCATTTTTACTACTGCTATTGCAGTTATTTGTTCCATATGCTCTAACCCTAGAAACGAATTCTGTGATTAGCAACATTGCTGTCATACCAACCTAATTTAGCTGTGTGATTAGGTTGGGTGAGTCAAGGATAGACAGATAAACACCCAGGAGTGACTCTGATCCATAGATTGCAGAGCTCCGACATGTGCTTATTGCCTGAACAGAAAGTGGAGTGGATACAGGCTCATCTGGGTCCACAAATGCATCCAGGGAGAGATACATGAATTGGCTAAGAGAAAGTGGCTGGTGACCTTGGACAAGCAACAGGGAAGGAGAGGCAGTAGCAGGAGGTGAATTGTAACAGTGAGAAGAACACCAGCTAATCAGACAAAATGTATTACCTGTGCAATCTTGTGTTAAAAAACAAGCTTTAATAGAACATGATCAGGTAGGATCTTCTATTTGGAGCCTGTGTGTCTCATGGAATGCATGCAATGAGGGGTTGAACTGTGGAGAAACCACTGCTTGCCTATAAGTCAATCAATTTCTGGGTGTGCAGCCTTCTCAGACAGTGGTATAGCTGTTTCCTTAGCATTGGCTCTGAATGTAAACATGTTCTGGTTTGAGCACAAAACCACTACTTCTGTTCCACTTTGAATGGCTTTTCCAGAAATGATGACTATGTGGTGATTCTTCATCTATTCTCATGCCTGGATCTGATTTATGAGATGTTTTGAAGGGTTACTGTGACTTTGCAACTGAGGTTGTTTTTTTTTTTTTTTTTTTCCTGTTAAGAAGTTAACATCTTTTCCACAGCCATTGTGGTTGCTTAGCAACAAGGGATAGCAGAGCAATAGCAGGGATTCTAAAACTCTACAGAATGATGCCTGCTGATGTCTGTCTCTTGAACAGGGAATCCCAGTGGGCCTGGCTTGAGATGGGAGGATGTAATAGCAAAAAATCTTTAGTCCTGAGATCTGAAACCCCAAAGAGAAACAGGTGAGTTTCCAGCTCCTCTCCTTCCAAAGTAATTCACAAAAATGTCTGGATAAAGTAGCCTTCACTCAGTACTTCAAAGAAAACCTTCCTTTAAAGTCTGGAGAATATCAACAGACAGACCTTTTATCCTTTCCTGGGGATGACCCCTTTCTTTGAAAACTGCTACCTTCCCAGATCATAGAACATACCTTGACACACAGAATGGGTTGAATGAATAAAATGTCCTTCCCTTGCTCTTTTCAGAATTACTTATCCATCCCAACTATTTTCCTAATGTGGAAAGTGGGAGGGAGTGGAGTCAGTTCTCTTTCAGCTGAAATAAAATGTCACCTTCATCACTCTCTTGACGGAAGATATACACACAAAAAGCTGGGTCATTCCTTCTTTCTGTGTACCCCAAATAAAAAGCCAAATCATCTCTGGCTACAAATATGGTAATGTGGTTCACCTCTGTAATTGATTTCTAGTTAATTACTGGAAATTTTGCATGTTGGCACAATACTTATATTTCCTTTTCATAGTTCACCTGCATGTAATTTTCTTATGTAGTAAATTCTCACTTGTACCCCACAATGCTAAAATTAAAAAAAAAAAAAAAATTTGAATATTTGTGTGAAAGGAAGGAAGGAAAGAAGGAAGGAAGGAAGGAAAAGTAGGACTTTGTTCTCACTTTACGTAATCCTTTGGGTTTTTGTTCTCCTGGTCTGTGGAGCTGAGGGTTCTGTGCAAGGAAAGAGCAGGGCTTCTGAGAAAGGAGACTTGTTGCTCTTTGGGCAGGTTCAACTCTGCTCCTTTATTCCTAAGCAGGAACAAGCTGGCTCCATGTGTCTCCTTTGCCTTCCCTTCTCCTTTCCCATCCTCTCCTCTTTTCTCATGCCCTTGAGAAAGACCTTCTCCACAGATTACATAAACTGAATGGGAACTTGCTCCTAAGGTATTTAAGTCATAGAGGGTGAGGCCCTGGATGCAATTAACCAAAGGAACAAAACATTTTCTCAGGAAATCCTCTCCTATAAGAATGGGATGCTTAATGACTGAATTCCCAAATCAATTTTATTAAAATCGTTTATTCACCTGGACTAATTGGTGACTAATGACTACTCCAATTCAACATAAAAAAGAATGGAGTAAAATGTTTAGAGGGCAGATAGAAAAATATTTCATTTCGAGGAAGGAAATTTTTATATTCTTGTAAAGCACCAGGAAAAAAACTACTACAAGGTTTATACGTCATATTATTAATCTCTGCCAACAGAAATTTAAAGAAGTTTTTCCAGTTTCCCTATAACCCCTGAAGAAAACAGGCTTTCTAAATACAATTGTTAATTATAATTTAGCTCAAGACTAATGGGCTTTTAAAAGCTTTTTTTCCCCTTAATTATTGTACAACATGAATTCTGCTCTGTATGCTGGATTACTATAGTTTCTTTGAGGCCATGACTCATGACCTTTAAATATTATTGTCAGGCAGCCAAAACTCCCTCATTTTAAAATCAGTAGTTTTGTTTCAGACATTATTAAGGTGGTTTCAAATAGTACTTTCTGTGGTGCATTTGTGGCTCATCAGAGTATGTATATCACATGTTTTGTTTGACTTCACTCAGCGACTAAATATTACTCTCTTGGTTTGGCATAAAAAATAAAGCACAGTCCTTGTCCTCTATGAAGGTATCACTGAGAAATGCAAAAACACAGGTAGACAAATAATTATGTACATCATGAAATGTAATAAGAGCTATAAGAGGCAGGCATCCAAAAACTACTTGAAGAATACAGAGGCAAGAAATGCTTCTGACCAGAAGGGTCAAAAGAGCTTTAGGAGAAGTTAGCATTTGAGTTATAATGTGAAGAAATGGTAAGCTTTCAACAAACAGAGAAGAGAGTATGGGTATTTGAGTTAGATTAAACAACCTAAGAAAAGAACAAACACATACTCTGGACTATGAGGCAGTTTAGTGAAAATATCAGTTGTGTGAGGTGCACTAACAAAGGATAAAATTGGTTAGAAGGCAAGAGGGTTTGATTTATTAAGGTCTTTCAAGGCCATTTGTTGGTTTGCCCAGCAATTGTGATGACAAAAGTTATGTTTTCCATTTTGTGATAAAGAAGTACTGGCAAGTAGAAAGCACCAAAATATTGGTTTTTGCTGATTTAGATATGATGAGAGAGAAGCAAATTATATTTCTCAGAACCCTGGTGTTTCCTTTCACTAAGCAAGAATTTATTTTGTTCAGTAGTCACAGATTACTTTGTGAACAGTTTTAAATGTTTCTAAATTTTTTGAAAAGTGAGTAAAAATGAGAAACATGCCCAGAAATATAGAAATTTTAAAATGTATTTATTAGAGAAATGGTGAGATAGAAAATAATACGAGTATCTTAGATTTAAAAGTAAGGTTTTCACTGGGGAGAGGAGAAACTATTCAGTAAATGGTGCTGGGAAAACTGACTGACCACATGCAGGAGATTGAAACAGGACCCCTACCTATCACTATACACAAAAATTAACTCTAATTGAATTAAAGACCTAAACGTACAACCTCAAACTATAAGTATCTTAGAAAACACAGGAGACACCTTTATGGAAATTGGAACTAGGAACCAATTCCTTTTCAGAACCCTAAAAGTCAATACCTTAAGAAATAAGATAGACAAGTGGGACCTCATCAAACTGACAAGCTTCTGCAAAGCAAAAGAAACCATCAAGAGAGCATGGAGACAGCCCACAGAATGGGAAAAAATATTTGCCAACTGTATATCTGACAAAGACCTAACATCTAGGATCTACAAGAAAAAGTGGTCTTTAAAAAGTGGGCAAAAGACATGAATAGACACTTCTCAGAAGAAGATATACAGGCAGCCAACAGACACATGAACAAAGAAGTGCATATCAAAACCACATTGAGATACCACCAAACCCCAGCAAGAATGGCCATTATTAATAACACAAACAACAATAGATGCTGGCAAGGATGTGGAGAAAAAGGAACACATCTACACTGCTGGTGGGAATGCAAACTAGTACAACCTCTTTGGAAAACAGTGTGTCGATTTCCGAAAGAACTAGAGATTGACCTTCCATATGACCCAGCAATTCCCCTAATGAGAATATATCCAGAGGAACCCAAATCATTCTACAAAAAAGATACCTGCACACGTGTGTTTATTGCAGCTCTGCTCACAATAGCAAAAACATGGAACCAACCATGTTGCCCATCGAAGGTGGACTGGATTGGCAGTAGTGGAAAACTGTCGGGGGTGGGGGAAGAGGAGGGTGGGATTGGCAGTTGAGGGAAACTGCAAGGGGAGGGAGGGGCATACCTCATCAACAAGGGTACCTGCATTATCTATGTTTATATACCTAACCCTGAATTGTACCCCACATCTTTATAATAAAAATTTTAAAGAAAGCACAACGGAGGAACACAACATCAGTAAGCGTACTTGATCTCAAACCAGGCCAAATGGGGACCAAAGGGAAACCCAGACTTTACCTGGACGATGACCACTGTATGCCTAATCCTGAATTGTATCCCATGTGTTTAAAATTAAAAAAAAAAAAGAAAAAGAAAAAATAAATAAAAGTAAGGCCTTATTTATTGGTTGGGCAACAATAGAATGGAATCTGTTAAATCTATGAGATTTATTAGATCACTCATTTATTCATTCAACAAATATTTGTTGACCATTCTATCCCTTTTCAAGATGCTGAGGGTAGAGTAACAACAACAGCAGAAATTTCTTGTCTTCAAGGAGTTAGGAAGAAATATAAAAAATATAATAAGCAAACTATGTAGTATGTTATAATGTGATTTGTATTTCAAAGAAAAACAGTGTGGTGATGAGGTGAAGGACTCAATTTTAAATGAGATATATTTGGTAATCTCCCACTGAGGTGGTGATATTTGAGCAAAGTGAAGAAGGAAGGAAGAATAAACTGAGTGCATAGATGTGGAAAAGGTATTCTGGGACCTGAGTGAAGAAAGTGTTTCAAAGAGGGAGAGATGAGTCATGTCAAAAGCTGTTAAGGTGAGTTGTGACAAATGACCAGTAGGTATAGTGTTGCAGAGGTCTTTGGTGAATTTGACAAGTGTGGTTTCTGTGGAATGGAACTAGTGAGGGTCTGATTGCAGTGATTTTAGCACAAAAAAGGAGGAAAGGAATTCGAGACAGATATATTTTTGCTATAACATTTTTAGCAAAAGGGGTCAGTGTAATCAAGGGTAAAAGGGTAAAAGGGTAAAAGGGCTCAAGATGTGATGAATAACATGTTTGTAAGCTAATAGAAAAACAATCCAGGAGGGAGAGAAAAGGTGAAATTGAGAGAAAAAAAAGGGAGAAAATAGTGTAAGAGGCAAAGAATTCCCTAATTATGCTACTTCTTAGGAAGAAGCTTCTGCAAAGCAAAAGAAACCATCAAGAGAGCCTCATGAAACCATCAAGAGAACCTCCCTCTACTTTTTTTTTAGTTGAAATAAGAGATTTTGCAGGGTTTCAGAACAGAGTGTGCTGTTCATACTGCTTATTCTCAAGAGAACCTTTAAAGGCTATTTTATCTTCTGCAAGTAAAGTTTACATTCCATTGTTCTTATTTCCTTTTGAAATGTCCAGAAATTGACATTTGGAAGAAATACTTTAGAAAATTTATTTTAAATGTTATAGTGTAGTGATCTATTTGATATAGGAGTGTGTGTGTATACACGTGTGCATGCCTGAAAGAAAATTTTGAATTCTCAACTTTTGCTTTATTTCAGCATGACATCTGGAAGTTTGGAGTCAGTTATACAACAAAAATGCACAGTATTGGTAAGAAATAAAGTCTGTATTTTTTTTTAGTTTTAAAAAGTCATTACTGTTAATGAAACTAAATTAATTTTGAGATTTTCTTGATAGCGTTTTCACATTTTACAATAAAATATTTTTTAAATAAAACATGAATTGTTGTTTTCCAGGTAGAAGACTGCAGTAATGTTGGGTGGAATGGTAAGTATGGGATGTTATTGGGGAAAAGGGAAGGTTAAATGTGATATGTTGTAACCTTTCCCATTTTGACATATAAATGCAACATCGCTCTCTGTGGCCTTACAATATTGTAGGCATCCTGGGCTATTTTTTGAAAGATTTGTTTGTATATGAGGAAATCCTGGGGTTCTGACATAAATGATATAGATCGAGTACAACACATTAATTGGTTTAGGTAGGTTTAGGTTTAAATCTTGGTGTATTCCAGATATATTGGGTTTCATTCTCTTTCAATTCAGCTGCTGACATGCCTAGCTCTGACCCTTGAGGTCTTCTTGCTCTATGAGTTCTATTATGTCCCAGAAAAGCTGGGTCCTTTCCACCAGACCCCCACTGTGTCTCTCACTAGGCTTCAGGTTAAATTGTAGGTTGCTGAGAAGTACTGAAGCTGGGTGATAAGTACATAAAAGGTCTACTTTTATGTAAGTTTGAGAATTTCCCCTAAAAAAGAAAAAAATAGTCGTCTATATTTCCCTCAAGCGACCTTGATTCAGTTTTAAGATTCTCTAGACTCCACCCAGAGACATTTTTGGAACATTTCACTCTAATGTAGAGGCAGTACGGTATAGGGTAAGATTACAGGACTAGGAATCAAAAGACTTGGCATCAGGCTCAAATTTGCCACCTCCAAGCTGTGTGATGATAGCCAAGTCATTTAAATTCTTACATGAAGCCGTATATTTCATCTGTAGAACAAGGATGATGAGACCTAACTAGTCTATTCAAATAAGATGCTTGGGATGTGAAAATGGTTGGTAAAGCACTTACAAGTATACAGGAGCGTAGTTATTAGGGATGTTAGCCTTCAACTGGGCTCTCCGTAGGCCAAGAGACTTTGCTCTTTAATTTCTTGATTTCTTTCTGAATTTAGCAGCTCCGGTCTACCACTCCTTTCCTACTCCAGCATCACTGGCTAAGAACAATCTATTTCCTTGTGTACTTACCTAGAACCTCACTTCTTTTTTTTTTTTTTTTTGAGTTGGAGTCTCACTCTTTCGCCCAGACTGGAGTGCAGTGGCCGCTCCCGGCCACCGCAGCCTCGACCTGCTGGGCTCCGGCGATCCTTCCGCCTCAGCCTTCCAAGTAGCTGAAACTACAAGCGCGCGCTACCACGCCCAGCTAATTTTTGATTTATTGTAGAGATGAGGTCTCGCCTGCCCAGGCGGGTCTCGAACCCGCGGGCTCAGGCAATCCACTCACCTCAGCCTCCCAAAGGCGCGGGATTACAGGCTGAGCCACCGAGCCCGGCTAGAACCTCACTTTTACACAAGGATTTGGGTTCACAAAATGGTAACATCACTATCCTCAGTGTAGTTCATTTAATCTGATTACAGACAAACAACATAGCTCTCATATCTCAAATTATTGATATCTTAATAATCTCCACAAAGAGGGTTTCTGTTGAAGAAATGGAAGTCAAAGGAAAATCAGGTTAGATTAGTAGACTATGGTTGTAATTAAAATGTGTTTTCTAACTCTAGTGATATTTTAATCTTACATTGCTTTTTTGTTAGAAAGGGAAAAGAAATAATAATGAATTTTTACTTTATTTAATGGAGCTTTTTAATGATTCTGTTATCCAAAGAAAGAATGTCACTCACTGGACCATATGAAAACATTTTTCTTTGCTTGTTTGAGACCCATAAGTTTGGGAAATAGGAGACTTCGGAGCTCTGCTTTCTGCCCTGTTCTCTAAGGTTGCTAATCAATCAGTACCCTAGGGGCAACTCTCTCATTGGTCGTATCTACACACTGAAAAGGACAAGGTGCCAATTACCACATTTAGGATTTCTGCCTGGGGATCCCAATTAGTTTCCTGGAGTTCAGAAACCATCCCCTTCCAATTTACATTTGACAAGGTTGGGAGCCCCAGGGCTTGAAGGAACTGGTTCTGCTTTAGTTTCTGACTTTTTACATTTCTAAAAGAACACATTTAGCTGAAGGAAGTTAGAATTAGAGACTTCAAGGTTGTGGGATATCTACAATTGCTGCTGCCTCTTTCCAAAATTTGGTCTCTTTTTAGCCATGGAACTCATTAGAACATAGAACTCAGTAGAACAGATTGTGGTAGATACCTTCAGGAACCAAATTATAGGTGGATCTCAGTTACTTCTTTTAAATAATTATTTTTAGCTTTGGTAGAAAATATTGCGATGATTAACTCCTTTCAATTCTGTGAAGATTTCATGGCCACTCAAGCAGAATTAACCATAGTCTGCCTTCGTTTGTTTTGTTTTGTTTTGTTTTTTTAAAATTCGTCTTTACTGCACTTTTCTCTGAAGCTACTTTAACTTTTGAACTCCCCTGGTAAACCGTGCATTCCTAAAGTAAGGACTGGGCTTTATTAATCTCTGCATGTCTGAAACAAAATTTCAGACATCAGAATGGCCTCGGTTGGTATCCCTTGAAGGAGAACAAATGGACTGCGTTCCAGACATAGTACCAGGTCATTGAATTATATTATCCCTCTGAATCTGTAGAGCAGCAGGTGAGGGTGGTACCTGGCATCATCGCTATTAGCTATTATATTGATACATTCCCTATTATTGTTGTTGTTGTTGTTACCAATTTAGAAATTAAGAAATTGAGTTTCAGGGAGATTCAAGGAGCACCAGATGCTGAGTGATCAAATATGCTCACTGTATGGCAGAAACACTACGGGATAATCCAGTAAGAGTTAGTTTAGTTAGACCCACTTCTCAGGTGCCAGGTTGTCTCCCATTAATTTCAACCCTAGTCCTTCAGGTCTGTTGGATAATTAGAATGTTATTTTGAATCTCTTTTTAAACTGTTTAGGGAATAAAATTTTTTTTGCACGAAGGCTTGACCTGAACAGGATCTGGATTGCTCCCCCGAACTGAGAATCCAGACACATATAAATGATTGATGTACATCCTAAGTGAACTAACACAAGAACAGAAAACCAAACACCACATGTTCTCACTTAGAAGTGAGAGCTAAACTAAGGGTCTGCAAAGGCATAAAGAATTGTATCATGGACATTGGAGACTCAGAACGGGAGTGTGGGAAAGGGGTGGAGGGACGAAAAATCACCTATCAGGTACAATGTGCATAGGTGGGAGTGGTGGGTACACTTAAAACCCAGACTTCTTTGCCACTATACAATGCAACCATGGAACCAAAAACTATTTGCGCCCCCCAAAACTATTGAAATAAAAATAAAATAAAATGTTTGAGGAGTTTCCAAGAAAAAAAAACGAGTGTCATAAAACACACGATGTCATTGGTTATGTGGAATGGCACATCCAAAAGTGAGAATATGGGTATGAATTTATTAGCAGTAGAATATGTATGAAGTATTTTACTCATTGTGCAAAACTGGGCTCATTATAAAGTCTCATAGGCCCTTTAACTTTCAAGTTATAATTTAGTGATGACTTTATTAAAGCATCTTATTTAAAGTACCAAAGATATGAAAGCACTTTTTGGTTTTTGATTTATAAAATGAAAATCATCACTCACACACCATATAGCAAGTCAGCTTTACAAAGCAGTCTTAGAGTAGCTAAAATATTTTACATTTGATAAGCTGGGGAAAGCAAACAGTGCCTTAGGTTGTGTCAAATTATATAAATTCTGTTCTTTTAATACTTGTAATATACCATTAATTTTGCTAGAAACATATATTTGGTCATATTTCTGTTATTTATCTATAAATTCTCACATTCTAAGATGAATTTCAAAAACCTATTTCCTTTGATGAGCAAACTTTTAAATCATTAATTAATCCAGGCTGTCAATATATCACTTGTGCTTTAAATGACTATTTCAAATGATTTAAAGTAGATATTCCTATTTATGGTTAAGATGAAAACAATATAGAACTATGTTTCTATTTATATTTAAATATAAAGATTGCTACTGTTCTAGGAAATAGGTCAATTTTGTTTCTTTTTTCTTCTATTCTTTTTTTTTGAGTTGGAGTCTCACTCTGTCGCCCAAACTGGAGTGCAGTGGCCGCTCCTGGCCACCGCAGCCTGGACCGGCTGGGCTCCGGCGATCCTTCCGCCTCAGTCTTCCAAACAGCCGGAACTACAGACGCGCGCTACCACGCCGGCTAATTTTTTTGATTTATTGTAGAGATGAGGTCTCGCCAAGTTGCCCAGGTGGGTCTCGAACCCGTGGGCTCAGGCAATCCGCTCACCTTGGCCTCCCATAGCACGGGATTACAAGCTGAGCCACCGAGCCCGGCTTTTTCTTCTATTCTAAAAGATAATAAATATCTCTCAACTTTTTGTTCTGCCTCTTTTTTTCTTTCTCTCTCTTCTTTCTTTGCTTTCTTTCAGCTTTACTGAGAGGCCCAATCAATATATTTAAAGTGTACTAGCTGGTGACTTTTGAGATATGTATACCAATGTAAAACCATCACCACAATCAAGATAATAAACATATTCATCACCCTCAAAAGTTTCTCATGTCCTTTAATAACCCACCTGTCTCTCCCCAGCTGCTCACAGGCCACAAGCATTTCCTTGCCCTTTATATAAATGGAGGTAGAATGTCCCTTTTGTACTGTCTTCTTTCATTCAGAGAATTTATTTTGATGTTCATCCATGTTGTAGTGTGTATCAATAGTACATTCTGACTGCAAAATAGTATCCCATTGTATAGGATGTACCAGCTTGTGTTTCCCTGCTATAGTCTGGATATAGTTTGTTTGCCCCATTAAATCTCATGTTGAAATTTGATCCCCAATGTTATATAGGAGCATCTAATGGGAGGTGTCTGGGTCATGGGGCAGATCCTTCATAAATAATGTCCTG